TGGTGATAACGTCACCCAATCATTCTATATCTCTTCCTCTATATAAAGTTTGCTTAAATTCCAAGAATTGGCTTATGGTACAGCATTTGTCCAACATGCATGAAACCTTGGGTTCTAAGCCCCAGCCTTAAAAAGCAATGACCGTGACAATAGAAGACATTTTCAAGAACTAATGACTGGCTGTTTGGAGCCGTGTCAGTCAGTGTCTCAGTGCTGTGAAGAGACATCATGAACAGCAGCTCTTATAAAAGAAAGCTTTTAATTGGGGCCGGCTCACAGTTGCAGAGGGTTAGTTTGCCTTCTTCATGGCGGGGAGCATGGCAGCGTCAGGCACGTGGGGCTGAAGAGTAGCTGAGAGTTCTACATCTGGATCAACTGACAGCAGGAACAGAGAGGGACTGGGCTCTTGCTTGGACTTTCGAACTCTCAGAGCTCACCACTAGTGACATACTTCCTCCAACAAGACCACACCTCATCTTTTTAAATAATGTCACTGAGCACTCAAATAGATACGCCTATGGGGGCCATTCTTACTCAAACCACACAGGACCTACGTTAGTTTTATTGAGAACAACATAATTGAATTTTTATATTTTTAAGAATTTGGAGCCAGGTGTGGTAATTCCAACACTTGGGAGGCAGAGGCAGGCAGATTTCTAGTAGTTCAAGTCTAAGCTGGTTTACACAGTGAGTTGCAGCTAGCTAGAGCTCCATAGTGAGACTGTCTCAAAAATAAATATTTTAAAATGATTTTGGGGTTCTAGGGATGTACCTCATTAAAAGTGTGTGTGTGTGTGAAACCTAGGGTTGATCCCAAGTACCCCAAGTCTAATGAGACTTGTGAAAGATATTAGAATAATCCCTTCATGTGTCTTTAAATGCAAAGGTACAAGAGGCTTTGTTGTTGTTATTATTGTTTTAACATGCTACATTGTTGTTTGTTTGACTATTTGAGATAGGGTCTTCTGTAGGCTTGGCTGGCTTCAGACTCACCCTGTTCCCAAAGATAAGCTTCAACTCCTGATCCTCCTGCCTTTACCTCCCAAATGTACTAGTAGAACATTTCTACCAGCATGTGCAGGTCACATGATGAATTGTTTCTTTCTATACAGTGGAGACATTTTGAATATCTTTTGCAGCATGATCTGGACATCCCAACTGTCTTTTTCTGGTATCTTACTGCAACTAAGGGCTTTTCTAGGAGTTGTTAAGAAGTTACCTATGCTGTGGAATAAACTATTAAAATCCTGTCTGCTTAGTAGCTTTGGAGAGTCACTTGTTAGCTCAGTAAAAGTGAAGTTAAAACACTTGCCATTTTGTGAAAGAAAAATCTTTGATTTTGATTTCTTTTAAAAGTTTAACTTCTTTTTAAAATATTTTTATTTGTGCATATGTGTGTGAGAGAGACAGAGGCAGAAGAGGGCATCAACAACCCTGGAGCTGAAGCTAAGGGAGTTATGAGCCATGTGGTGTGGGTGCTCCCCGATTCTGGTCCTCTCGAAAGAGTAGCAAGTGCCCTAACCACTGAGCCATCTCTCCGGCCCCCAAAACTCAACTAATTGAAATACTGTATCTTGAGATAACTTGCAACCCTGGTGCATAATACAATTTGCAGTCATATCTCAATACAAAACATTATAAAGATTTTTTTTTAACTTCAAATACTATAGTCCAGAAATGAATTCCCTCATCATACAGACAGTTGCCTTACACAAAGTAAATGAGACTGGAATCAGACTGGCCTGACTCTTCAGTATTTTAGGACTCCCTCTTTTCCCTCAAGGGTAACATCAGGCAAATTACCAGATGACAGTGAGTTATGACAGCGTCATCAACCATATAATCGATTTCTTATATTTTAATTTCTAGGAAACCAAAAAATTCAAGGTCAATTTTCTTTCTACTTTGAAAACTGTAGCAGTTGCATGATATATTAGACCAGACATTGATATGGCAAAAATCACTTTATAAAATTAGTATTTCTTAGTCTGACATGATACCTTCCTATAATCTTAGCATTTAGGAGGCAGGGGGGTTAACAGGTGGATACAACCTGGGCTACATAGTAAAAGGGTTGGGGTGTAGTTCAGTGGGACAGAGTTTCCCTATCAGGAACAAGGCCCCAAGTTCAACCCTCAGTGCTCGGCAGGGGGTTGGGGATGAGCTCCTCAGAGTTGTCATCTATTCTTGCTTTAATATGCTGTATCACCTTCTTAGTGACCTTCCCAAATAGTAGTCTGTTTCCCGCCAGGATTTCTGACCTTGGCTTGTGTGTCTTGCGTGTCTGTTGACTGGCCGCATCCTGGCAGTTTGAACCTCAGCTCACCTTTGTCAGGAGACCTCCTTCTGTCTGTTCCCCAAAACTCCTTCTTTCCTGGTTGCTTGTCTTCTTGGTTTAGATGTCATGTTTCTCCTTTAGAGAAACATCCTATTTGTTATGAAGTAAAGTTGTTAATAAATATAAAATTTTGTTTTATCCTCCTGTTTGATGCTTTGGCTAGTTTTCCTTCAGAGTAAGAAATTCAACTATAGCTTCCAGTGTTGTTGCAACCATTTTTATTGTAATGCTTTCCTTCGGAGAGTTACTTCAACATAAATTCACTCTCCCTTATCTGATATTCTTGGGGCCAGAAGTGTTTTCAAATTTTGTTTTCCCAGGTTTTAGAATTTACATTTATATATATACGGAGCCCAAGTCTAAAAAATGCATTCATGTTTTCTATATAATCCATAACATACAACCTGGTAATTTTACATGGCATTTCTAATGTTCCTGTGTTTTGCCTTCAGCCAACCACGTGGTCAAGTATGGAGTCTTCCACTGGTAACAACATGCTGATACCTTAAAAGTTTGATATTTTGATCATTTCAGATTTTATATTAGGGATCCTCAAGCTATCTTTATTACTTCTAGAAGTCTAAGTTTTTAGAATGATGTACTATGTAGCAGGCTCTTTGACTATGGAAACTCACGTCCCTCTGTTCTAAGGAAAAACAATACTGCTGAATGCAATGGCAGTGCTAAGTGATGGTGTTTCTTGAAAAATGAGGTGAAGTTAGGACTTTATTTTAAATGTACTACTTTGAAATGTATTAGTCTGTACCACACCAACTTGACTGTTGAGTTTTAATGTTCTAAAATTAACAAACCTAAGCATAGCTTAACATGTTGAATGACTGATTTTTCTCAGATACAAAATTTAGCTTTCATTTGCAAAATAATTTAAATTATAGGACCCTGCCTCCCAGCTCCTTACTTAACATGTGCTTCACTTAAAAATGCTTAGGTGGGGCTAGAGAGATGTTAAGAAAATGTATTGCTTTCACAGAGGGCACTGCTCTTGCAGAGGACCTAGGACTGGTTCCCAGCAGCCACCAGGAGGCTCACAACCACCTATAGCTACAGTTTCAGGGACACGATACCCCCTTACCTTACACAGGCACCTGCATGCACATTGTGCACTTAGACACGCTGGCACACAGACACAGAGTTCAAAATGACTAAAACGTTCTCATAGAGATACCTATGCAGATTCATTATAAATTCAAGTATGTATAGCCAATGAGTGCCCTGTACAAGTTTACTCTCTGTTTTCAGGTGATGAAGAATGTAAGAATATTATGTGAGTAGAATACTTATAAAAATGCAGAGATTTTTGTTATTGAAATTAATTGGCAAAACTCATTTTGGAATATTTACTTGACATTTTTATTGCTCAGTGGTAATTATTTACTTAATAAATTCTAAAAACTTCACAAATTAAAATTGTTCTTATTTTAATCAATAGAAATGGAAGCAAGAGGGGCTGGAGAGATGGCTCAGCAGTTAAAAGCACTGACTACTCTTTCAGAGGACCCAGGTTCAATTCTCAGCACCTACATGGCAGCTTACAACTGCCTATATAACTCAAGTTCCAGGGGATTGGTACACATATGTACATGCAAGAAAAACACCAGTGCACATAAAAAAGTAATAAAAAATTATTAAAAAAGAAATAAAAACAAGAAAAGAAACAATACAGGATAGTCTCATAGTTGTTTTTTTTTTTGTTTCTTTTTATTATTATTATTTTATACAGTACTTTTCCTGCATGTAGGCCTACATATCCTAAGAGCTCTCCAGATCTCTTTATAGATGGTTATGAGCCACCATGTGTTTGCTGGGAATTGAACTCAGGACCTTTGGAAGAGCAGACTGTGCTCTTAACCACTGAGCCATCCCTCCAGCTCCAAAATATTTTTTAAGAAATTTTTATTATTTGCACAGTATTCTGCCTGCATGTATACCTATGTACCAGAGGAGGGTAGCAGATCTCATTATAGACTGTTATTAGCCACCATGTGGTTCTGGGAATTGAACTCAGGACCTTTGGAAGAACAGCCAGTGCTCTTAACCTCCAAGCCATCTCTCCAGCCAGTAGCTCATAGATTTGTAACTGTTTCTTCTTATAAAGAATTAACTGGCCTGTTGTGAAATAAGAAAAATAAAGAGAAAGTCAGATATAGTGACACACGCCTGCAATTCTAGCATAGAAGCATAGAGTTGGGATCAGGAGAAATGTTGCAAGTTTAAGGCCAGCCTGGTCCACATAGAGGTTTCCAGATTGGCCAGGTCTACATTGCAAGACCCTGTCTCTGGAAACCAATAAAAGAAAAATAAGGGAAGGAGAAATAGGCATAAGATATACTGCAAAACTAGGAATTATTTCTATCCAAGCATGTATTGTGGCCAAGATAGGACCTATGTTGAAAATTAGCTATGAGAAAGGAATCCATTATCTTGCCTCCATGGTACTAGGAAATATTATCCCAATATAGTAGAGCAGTGCATTAAAGTGGGAACAAGGCACCTGGAGCTGCGTTACAACATGGCCAGTATTCCTTTCATGTCCTGATTATGGTTTTCACCTTGTCTCCAAGCGAGGTTTAATGTATAATCTAGACTAGATAATGTATAATCTAGACTAGTGGCTAATGACTTCCCTTTTTCTTTTTCTTAGATACATCCAGAAAGTGCCCAGAAGAAACTTCCTGTCAGAAAACCTGAAAACACAGTATTTATAACACTGGAGTTTGTAAAGATGGCTGAAAGCAACAGTGAAAATGTAGATGTGAGGCCTAAAACAAGTCGGAGTAGAAGTGCTGACAGAAAGGATGGTTATGTGTGGAGTGGAAAGAAGTTATCTTGGTCCAAAAAGAGTGACAGTTGTTCTGAATCTGAAGCAGTTGGTACTATTGAGAAAGCTGAAATTCCTCTGAGGAGCCAAGAAAGGAAGCTCAGCTGTTCGTCCATTGAGTTGGACTTAGATCATTCCTGTGGGCATAGATTTTTAGGCCGATCCCTTAAACAGAAACTGCAAGATGCCATGGGCCAGTGTTTTCCAATAAAGAATTGTAGTAGTCGACACTCTTCAGGGCTTCCATCTAAAAGAAAAATTCATATCACTGAACTCATGTTAGATAAGTGCCCTTTTCCACCTCGATCAGACTTAGCTTTTAGGTGGCATTTTATTAAACGACACACTGTTCCTATAAGTCCCAGTTCAGATGACTGGGTGAGCACAGACTTATCTGAGAATAAACTGAGGGGCGCTCAGGTAAAACGAAGAGACATGGAAGAAGACATTCCCTGTTTCTCACAAACCAGTGTCCAGCCCTGTGTCCTAACTACCAACAATGCTTCATGTACCGGTGGCCACTTAACTGGCTCGATGATGGACTTGGTCACAAACGGCAGCATAGAAGATAGTGACATGGAGTCAGAGGATGAAATTATAACTCTGTGCACAAGCTCCAGAAAAAGAAACAAGCCCAGGTGGGAAATGGATGATGAAACCCTGCAGCTGGAGGCACCTCCCAAGTACCACACGCAGATTGATTATGTCCACTGCCTTGTCCCAGACCTCCTGCAGATCAGTAACAATCCGTGCTACTGGGGTGTCATGGACAAATATGCAGCCGAAGCTCTGCTAGAAGGAAAGCCAGAGGGCACCTTTTTACTTCGAGACTCAGCACAGGAAGATTACTTATTCTCCGTTAGTTTTAGACGCTATAGTCGTTCTCTTCATGCTAGAATTGAACAGTGGAATCATAACTTTAGCTTTGATGCCCATGATCCTTGTGTTTTCCATTCTCCTGATATTACCGGGCTCCTAGAACATTATAAGGACCCAAGTGCCTGTATGTTCTTTGAACCACTTTTATCCACTCCGTTAATCCGAACTTTCCCCTTTTCCTTGCAGCATATTTGCAGAACAGTTATTTGTAATTGTACGACTTATGATGGCATCGATGCCCTTCCAATTCCTTCTCCTATGAAATTGTATCTGAAGGAATACCATTATAAATCAAAAGTTAGGTTACTCAGGGTTGACGTGCCAGAGCAACAGTGATGGGGAAAGATATGGACTTGCATACATATTTTCACTTAATATTTTATTTTTCTTATGCCTCTTTGAATTTTTTTACAAAGGCAGTTGGAATCCAAAATAAAACTTGTCCTAAATTTTAATTCCAGATCAATTTATTTTTTTTATGATACACTTGTCATATATTTTTAAACAGGTGTTTGGTTTTTGTTTTTACCATATAAATTGTATACTTTTTCCCTTAATTTACATGTGGTCCAGGCATATTTGAAATTTCAAGACATTGAAAATATATTTGAATATTCTATATATTTTTTTTTAATAATCTTTTACTCTTTCCTACATGTGAAATATTTTGCTAATCTATGCTATCAGTATTCTTGTATGGGGGAATAGTTACCTATCCCTTTTTCATTTTAAGGTTCTTCAGTAAAGATGAGTGTTATAATCCATCTGTTACAATGTACTTGACTTTTATAATTTGCTAGTAGGAATGTTAGATAACAAAATGGTTTAAAATGAAAATGTGTGTTTTCATTTTAAGTATTAAGTAAATAATACTTGCTTGTTAAAGATTATTTGTTTGTGTGTTTGTTAATCTGGCAGTGAGAAAGAGAATGTTATGTTCTAGAGGCGCACTTGTTCTGCAGTATGAGGATCGCCAGTTAATCCAAATAGGCACCCCTCAACCTGGAGGAGGTGAAGGGGAACATAACTTGCATTTCTTTCTTCCTGGGAGCTTTACAAAGCAAGGTAACAGCATTAGAAACTTAGAGTTGCTAAGGCAACTACTTAGCCCTTTTTTTTAGGAACTCTGGTTCTCAGGTGAAAATATTCAGCTTTTAAATAGCTCCTGTATCCATCAGTAACAAAAAGAACTGACGAGTTTCTCTTTATTTTGAATTGCACTAAATAAACATGCCAACAAAAACATGGCTGAATATTTAGGAAGCTTAGTGCTCCATTTTTGTCTTCACATCCTAAATAATTATTTCTGTCTTTGGAACTAACATATACTTCATGTGGCTTCAAAAAAGAGAAGGCATGGCAGTAGCTCCATGACATAACACACTGGACAGAGGGGCAAAATAACAGTTCACATTTACAATCGTTTTGTTTTCTTTTCTTTTTTGTTTTTCAAGACAGTTTCTCTTTGTAATCTTGCTGTCCTGGACTCACTTTGTAGACCAGGCTGGCCTCTGCCTTCCTAAATGCTGGGATCACAGGCTTGTGCCCCTGTGCCTGGCTCACATTTACTATGTTAAGGGCAACACCACACTTTAGAAACATCATTGGCCTAGAGTAGGCAGACAAGTGGAATGGTGCCCTAGTTCTCTCTCCAGTGACTGCCCTTGACAGAGTGCCCAGTTTTCCTTGTAGTGAGCTATCTGCTTTTTTTAAAATATTATAGGATTTTGTGGGTTTTTGTTTTTTCTGTGTATGATAGTGTCTCTCCGTGTAGCCTAGGCAGACCTCAAATTTGAGATCCTTCAGCCTGAGCTTTGGGATTATTACCCAAAAGGTTTGGACCACCATGAACAGCTAGTAATTGGGTTTCTTCTTTTGTTGTTGTGGTTTGATTGTTGTTTAGTTGGTTGGACTTGGATTTTTTTAACTGGGTGTCTGTAATCCTGGCTGTTCTGTAGCTTGCTAAATAGTCCAGGCTGTCATCAGAGTCAAGAGATCCTACTTCTTCCTCCAAAGTGCTGGATTAAAGGTGTCTGACACTATGCCTGGCTACTAATGGATTTCTTTCTTTTGTTTTTCTTTATCTTTACTTGTTTTGCTTTGTTTTGATAATTGATTTCTTGATATTAGTTCAGCTGTACTAGAAAACTTGCTTCAACCTGGACTCAAGGAACATTACTTAAAGTTTCTGAGTTAGAACTTAAATGTTTCTTGCTGGCTCAGTGATACATACCTGTAATCCCACTTTTTGAGAAGCAGAGAGATAAAGATTGCTGCATGTTTTAGTCAGTCAGAGCTGTATGGTGAGGATTTGTCTCAAAAAATTTTTTTCTTAATTCTTGTTGCATCTATGTTAAGATAGCCTTTCCTGGTCTTGAGGGTGCTATTAATGTAAAAACAGTCTTCAGTAATAGCTTTTACTGATCATGTTGGTTCACGCCTGTATTTCCAGAAATTGGAAGACTGAGGCAGAAGGATTGCATGACTCCTGGAATAACCTGGGCTACAGAGGTAGACCCTGTCTCCATGCCTCTACCCCCCCCCCCAAAAAAAAAGAAAACTTAATAGCTTTAAATTTTTCAACAATTAAAAAATTAAAATGGGAAAACCTGTTACCATTCTCTCTTAATTTTTTTTTTCTCTCAGTGGTCTAAAGATCATCTTGATCACTATGAGAGGCGGCCACTCAAGATGTACCTCTTACAACTGTAATGAGGCCGAGGCTGTGAACACCAGTGTCAGGATAACTAGCCCTTCTAGAGAGGATGCTGACCCTGAGAGTAGACAGTCTCCAACTACCTCATCTTCGTTGCGGCACTTTTGTAGCTGCTGAGGTGGTCATCTTATTAACCAGTATAACATTTCCTAAGTCTCCATCTTTGGTGAAAAATTTATAATTACAGCTCTTTATCAGAATTTGATAAAACCTTCTGTTTCTGTGAAACAGTTACTTTTAATATTTTTCTTTGAAAGTAACTTTTTATCAGTACAGAGCTATCTAAGGGATGACTAGCTTATGAATATTCTGTTAGAGGGTAGTTTTATAAAAAAAGTGAAATATGTCTTTTATAGTGGTAAAATTAGTGTTTATATGCAAGTCAAGATCAGTAGCTTTTAATATACTTAAGACTGATTGCTTATGATATATTTTCTCTGGCTTTTTATTGTTTTCAATGTCAAGATATTAACAACTTAATATTTTCAAAATACTGCCATATGTGTAGCTTTGAAGTGTGTGTTAAGGACAAGACTCATTTACTCTGAAATGCTTTGTATCTTTCCTTTGGTACTTCCTACAGTGAAAAGAAACTTGGAAAGTAGAGATTTATAAAGATTTGGGAAGAGAATTATTTATTGTGAGGGAAAGAGAAAAGAGTGACAAAAAAAATTAAGGATTTGAGATTTGGAGAAACCCACTTTGCGTTTTTGTGAAGAACATCAATATTAAAAAACTAACTCAAAAAAGTTTAAAATACATTTACTGAGTTAAATAGCTAAAATGAAATTAGTTTATGCTAAAAAGCATAAATAAATTCTATGACATATTTAAAGAAGTCTAAATTAAATGGAAATGTTATAACTCTTAAGTTGACATTTGAAACTTTTGAATACTGTAAATTCCACTTGAAAAAGTGTCCAGTGTAGGCCTTGATGCACACAACTTTTAATCCCAGCACTGGGAGACAGGAAGGCAGGTGTCTGAGAGTTTAATGCCTACCTGGCCTAAATGGTGAGTTCCAGGCCAGCCAGGGCTATGTAATGAGACCCTGTCTCAAAACAAAAGAAAGAAAAGCAGGCGATATAGTGGAAATGTGTAGAGTTTATTTGTGAGAGAGAATGGAGCTAAAAGGAACACGATAAAATATTAAAATTAAGAATTTAGGCATTACCTCAGGGAAAAAAGCCTTGACAGTGAAAGGAAACTACTTTATCACTAATAGCTCATCTGGACCAGACGCTGAATACTTTGGGAGTCATCCTGAACAATCAGGAAATGAACTTGACTTTCCCATTTCTCTTGAGGCCTTTCAGGACAGAGCCTTCTGCTCTTCGTTAAACCTGCATCTTGAGTTATGCTATGATTCCTGAAATATGCTGAATGGGTTCTTTTTAGTTTCCTTGGGTGTTTTTCTACAAAGAGTTATATGTGATTCTTTCTGATACATAACCGTGTCATTGGCCTAAATAATTAATGAAGAGAATATGTTAATTTAAAGGGGACCTAATAGGAACATTAAAGGAAGCTTTTAGTCAGCCTGTGGCTAGCTAGATTTATTGATTTGGTGAGGAAACCTGTGTTCTTTGCTGACTTTCAGCTAATTGCTAACTCTGGTCAAAGAATGGCTTTCACTTAAAGTTTTGACTTATTATAAATAAGATAAAGAATGTCTTAGTAATTAGAAATCCTTTAAAACATCGAACAAATGTGCAAATAAGACTCATCTTTTTATAAGAAAAACACATAAGCCTTTATCACTTATTCATGAGCTAAAGCCATTAAGATAAATCAAATTATCAACTTCCTGTCTCTGAAGTTTGGATCGTTTTATAGATCCATGTAATAGAGCACTTATTTCCTGTGAAGCAGATGCTTTCAGGTCTCTTCCTCTCTTTTCATTAAAAGTATTTGTCACTTTTAACTATAATCAGAATCTTATAGACAACTATATTTTTATTTTGGCAGGGCAAATTTCACAGAATACCTACTTAATTATAAGACAATCCTGGAGACAAAACAATGTTTAAAATAACCTATGTAGGAAGGTATGATGGCGTCCGCCTTTAGTACCGGCACTTAGGAGGCAGAGGCAGGTAGATCTCTGTAAGTTCCAGAGCAAAGTTACATCATGAGAGCCTGTCTCAAAAAAAAAAAAAAAAAAAAGACACAAAGAAGAAATGTAAAGTAATGGTTATCTAATAGAAAAGGCTTTAGGACAAAACTAACTTCAAAATAGTGTTTCTAATTTGTAATTTTGAATGCGTTACTTAATCCTAAATTCTTTTGTCTTAATTTCCTGTGAAATGTAAGTAATGGTACTGTTGTTTCCTGAAGGTTCATTCACTAAGAGGTGTTCCTTAGATCATAGTTGAAAATAATTGCTGGGTTGCTATTCAGTACTAATTGAGAATAGGTTTTCAAAGTAGCACCTTTGTGAAGCATACAAAATCATAATCACTTGTCTGTAATAGTCTTTCTTGACTTGATCTGACCATGGAAATAACAACAATTTGGTTTTGTGGTTCAAACTCTACAATTACTTAACTGCAATTTCTTCCTACCTTAAGATCTGTATAAACTGATGTTTGCCTTATTTGGAAAACTGATTACATTTGCAGGAAATAAAGATAATTTGTGCCATTGTTATAAATCAAATCTAAGCTTTCAGACTTAGGAGTCATAGTGTAAAACTCAAGGAAGTTCATTTAAATTCTGCTGGCTTTGCTAGAATTGAATAAATTTGTTATGAGCCAAGTAAGAACTATATATACTTGAATATACAGAGTGTAATGATTTCACAAAGCTATGTTGTCAATTATGGTGTGTGACCCAAACTATTTTCACTTTCTAATCTTGACAAATGTTTGAGTGTGGGTTTAAAAATTTTGATCTGAATAAATTTTTGCTTAATTAAATCTTCATATATGAAATCCACAAGTTGTTGTTTTTAAAGATTTGTGTTCATCTGTGTTAAATTCAAGAGTGTTCCATGATACACTTGTGAAGGTCAGAGCACAGCTTTCGAGGGCAGGCTCTCTTTTGAGGCAGAAATCTGCCTCCAGTAGTAGGCAGAATTGTAGCTGCCAGCCATAGCATCTAGGTTTTCACATGAGTTTAAATCATCGAAATCAGATGGCAGAATTTTTATTTATTTATTTATTTATTTATTTATTTATTTATTTACTTATTTATTTATTTATTTATTTATTTATTTATTTATTTATTTATTTATTTTTGGCAAGCACCTTTGCCTGCTAATCCGAAACCTTGGCCCTAGCCTTTGTGGTTTTGTTTTTCAGAACATTATTATTATTGGGAGCTGCGGGGGTGGGGGAAATCATGTGGCAGGTGTGGAAGTCAAAGGATAATTTGTGAAGTGACCGTCAAACTCGATTGTCAAGCCTGTACAGCAAGCACTTCAACCAGCTGAGCCTCGTTTCCGGCCAGTGTTGTGTTTTAAGAAGCATTTCTATCTTTGAATGAAAGTGAGGACATGACCACTCCTAGGTATGGTTGAGAGAGGTTTTATTGTAGATAGGAGAGAGAACAGCCAGCGACCCTGGAAGGGTCCAGGGTGCACCTAATGCTAAGACCCTTTAATACAGTTTCCTCATGTTGTGGTGACCCCCAACCATAAAATTATTTTCGTTTTTGCTTCATAACTGTATGTTTGCTAGTGTTGTGAATTGTAATGTAAATATATGCGATCCCTGTGAAAGGGTCATTTGACTCCCAAAGGGCTCACAACCTACAGGTTAAGAACCACAGTTCTCAATTTAAGACTTAGAGGGAATAAGAGCTTATTCTGGAGCCATTCTGAGTGACAATGGCCCCAGAATACAAATGTAGGTTACCTCAAAGTCCATGTACCAACATGGAACCAGTATCACGAGTTTCAAGGCAAATTTAAAATACACTGGTGTGTACATTGAAGAGACAGGCACATCCATATAGAAGCTTTTCTATACGCCTAAGAGGCTATCTGCTGATAGTCTTAACGTTTGGGTTGCTGTAAGTTAGTTGCCTGTTACTAGATTCAAAAAGGTTTCTATCTGTTGCCACATGGTAGTTTTGACACAAAGGTGGGCACGGAACGGCTGTTCTGGAGGGCTAGCACTAGCCCAAGATAGGTAATTAGCCTCTGGACCTGCAATAGTCCAAGTTTTTCGCGGTCCATAAATTCTAAATGGCCACTCGGTCTCTGAAGGAACAGACTGCTCTCAGAAGTTTTCCTTCACAGCACGCTTAGGGAGTCTTCCTCTTTCCCTCACCTCTTTTCTCAATTTGGCTGTGCGAGGGCAGCCAGCTGGGAGCCTGGCTGCAAAGCCCGCAGAACGCACGGAATCCAAATCCGCTTCCAGCCACGGGGCGGCCTCGAGCGTCTCCGGCCAGCGGGTTTCGCTCGGGGCCTGTGAAACTAGTCACGCTGCACGCGGCACAGCGGCCCGGGCGCCGGGAGCCACGCGGGCCGGGGCGCCGGCAGTGGGCGGGGCGGCCGGAAACGGCGGGCAGCCCGGCCGGGCCGCGCGCTTCCTCTTCCGGTGCCGGGAGGAGCCGCGAGTCCGCCGCCTGGGTCCGTCCGGCCCGCGCTGCCGCCCGTCCCTGCGCCCTCGTCGCGGTCACTGCGCCACGCGCAGCGCTCGGATCCCGCCGGGTGAGTCTGCTCCGGCGCCCGCGGTGGGGCCGGCGGGCGCGGGCTCCGGGCCTGGCGCGCCCTCGGCGGGAAGGGCCTCCGGGACCTGCGAGCGCCCCGGTGTCCCGGCCGGCGGGTTCCCGGGCCCCGCAGGCCAGGCTGGGGGGAGGGCCGGAGCGGCGACCCTCCCCCACGCCCTGCCACCCGCTAGGGGCCGGTTCGCTCCGGCTGATCCCGATTCCCTTTGTTCGCTTAGCCCCAGAGGGCAGCGCCTCTGCACCCTGGGCCCCGCGCCCCACGTCTCCCAGCCACCCACTTCTAATAAAAACGGTGGTGGAGGAGGCCCAGTCCTCCTTACGGGAAGGCCTGGCGCCCGGTAATTCCGTGCGGCAGGGTCCTCGCTGTCCGGGACGGAATGTGCCAGGGGCGGAGGAACGGAGTCCTTTTGCAGGACTTAGGCCAGCTAACAACGCTGGAATCTCTCCACCCTGCCTTGAAAACCGAAAGCGATGTTTCCACTAATCCCAGCGTTCAAGTTTCGAACCAGAGCCACCGTAGCGATGCGTTACAGCCCACTAAGGTGTACACACGTGTACCTCCGGGGTGTTCAAGGCCTGTGCGAAGCCAGACCCTTACTGCTGAGGTCGCCTTCTCAAGTCTTTGTTTAGTGGTGCTCCTTGGGTGGGTGGGGAGTGGTTTTCTCATGCGTGGTGTGTAGAAGCCACTTTTTAAAACCAATTTGCTTCAGAAACTTTAAAGCCATTGCCGCAGTTGTAATGTTCTTTTTGATTACAGAAGGAACCGCGGTATCCATCTTCATTCTTTTAACTGAGGTTGAGAGTCTTGGGGCCGCTATACTTAGGAATTCAGCAGTCTTCAAATTCTGTGATTTATAAAGACCTGCTACAGAGGAACTGTAACACCCCTAGACTTGGGGGCCATTAATCCATTATTAATATTTATACTGGCTGAGCCCATAATTAAGTGATTAAGCGCTGGCCTGGCTTGCTTTGAGGCCCTAAATTCAATCCCCAAAACTTTAGGGAAGGAAAATATATCTATACGCACCAGTTATAATGATTCAGACCACAGCTGGGGACGAGTGGGAAATGAAATGGATAAATAGCGCTGGGTCTGCTTTTGCCACCAAATAAGTTTTGTGCCATACTTAGACGATTGCGTTTTCTAATATTTTTGGTTTGAAGGTGTTGTGTGATCCGTTTAAATCCAATATAACTCAAACACCAGGTCAATGCAGATGACAAAGATTTACTTTGTAATATTTGTGATTTGAAAGTGTTATGGGGTCCGCTTAAATCCAATATAACTCAAACACCAGGTCAATACAGATGACAAAGATTTATTGTAATGAAGACGTTATTGACAGAACAGACTTAGGAGTTGAACTTCGACCCTGAAGGGACATTGTATAATATATTTAAAAGATGAAACCATAAAACAAAGGGGAGTAGGGTGGGCTGTAGCATTGTTCAATCATATATTGAAACAAGGGTTTGAATAAGGGAGTTCCATCATTTAGGATAGGAGTCTGTTCCTGGACCTGGGAACATGAACTTAGTTTGACCATTGCTGCAAGATGTCGAAGTTGTTCTTGAAATGGGTGGACTTGGGCAGATAAAACTTGTCCCTGAGGTGGCTGGACTGTTTTCTTCCAACAAAAGCTGTTCAGCCATTGGGAAGTCCCCAGCTCCCCTAGGGCCTTGGACCTTGAATTTAGTTTCTCCCTATGATTAAATGGAGTCTGAAAAGAAATGGTAGTATTTAGAATAAGATTCTTTTGCTTGCTCCCAACAAAAATAGACAAAGGTTTGTGGTTTTATTGTAGCGGTTGTAAAAGCTAATGTTTGTTGAGTTTTTCCTCTGTGCCAGGCAGTGACTTGAGAGATTTACAAATTTATATAAGCCTCAGCAAATCTCTGCAAAATACCCATTAACTCTCATATATAAGACTCAGAGAATTGTGCAGGGGCCATACAGGCAGTTTACTCCGTTAGCTTTGTCCCACGCATCTACATGTGAAAAGAGAAGGCGGGGCTGGAGAGTGGAGAGGGAGCACTCAGTTGTCAAAGCTGCGCTGTTCTCGCTGAGACTCAGCACTCACATGAGGCAGCTCACAACTTCTGTAGCACCAGCTCCAGGGAATTCAGCACCTCCAGCCTTTTTGGGCACCTGCATTGAAGTGAACAAACCTGTATACACTTTTTTTTTTTTTTTTTTTTTTGTAAAAATACCAAGAGAAGAGAATTGCATTGTTGTTGCTTATGTGCTGTTTTCCAAGCACTGTTAGTCACTGAGTCAGATGAAACCTTGTTTAATTCCTATGTAACATTACTGGTCCATTCTAAATATATAAAAAAAACTGAAGTTGACTCAACTAAGCTAAAGTATTTGGACCCTTGTCCAAAACTCTCTGCTAAACTAATTCTTGATTTCTCTGTATTCTGACCAATCTGAACTGTTTCTGCTTCCCCACAGTTTTATACAAACTGTTCTTACCCTGAGCCTGTCTTTAACCTAATATTCTCTTACATTTATTCCAGACTGCAGAGACAGCACTTCTCAAGTATGTCTGTGCGTGCCACTAATTACCCTAAAGCCCAGGGGTGTGTCACACTTGGTTTCCAAAAAATGAATTAAATTATAAAAGGTACCACTAGGAATTTAAATGTTTAAAAACATCCCATGCTTTTTTTGGCTGCCCAGTTGTAACATGAAATACAATCTGATAAATTAGCGAGTACTAAAAGCTAACGTAAATATATACTAATATAATAGTCCAAATTAACCTGTAAACCTCACCTGTTCAAGGACCAGGACAGGAATTCTGGGAGTTGTAGTTCTTGGAAAATAACAAAGCCTTGTGGGAAAGTGCAGTGGCCAATGACACATGTCTCTGGGACACTCTCTGAGTGTCCACACTCAGGGAGTGATCCTGACCAAAGTCCATCTCTTGGTCAACATTTAATATGTGGTAAAGCTTGCTTCAAGTTTGACCCAAAATGGTGGATTTTTGTTTTGTTTTGTTTTTTGTTTGTTTTCTGTTGAATCTCAAGATTAACACTATCACACACTAAAATCACAAAAATCCTGCTTTTCCTTGGTTTCTCTGAGTTTACATATTGTTTGGTGTGTATGTGTTTAGATTCTTGAGCTTTAGCTGTCAGTAAGGTATCCAGGAGTCACAGCTTTGATAGATGGTTAAGCTTGCTTTTGTCAGAAAGGACTGCTGCTCATGTTTAAGTGCACAGTCTTCTACTGTTTGGTCCCTTGTCACAGTTTGATGGCCTTCTGAAGTGTTGCTTGCCAGTTGTCACTAACAAGTCAATGGATTTTAGCTTCCTTAAACTTTGTGTGAGGATGATTTCCTTAAAGACCATATACTCTAATGATGTGTTTTGCTCTCCTGGTGGCTAGTAAAAGACATTTATACTATGTTTTTTCTATTTTCTCCTAAAGAAATAAGTATTTTTCAGCCTGGGAACAATGAGATCCTGTCTACAAAGAGGAGGAAACTGGAGAAGCAAGGAAAGTAAATACCGATAAAAGCCTCTACCTTGCTGTTGGCATTTTAAATAGTAATGGGAAATTTAGAAACGAAAAGCTGTGAATTGAAGATGTGAGTGTGGCATAGGACAGCCTCAAGTTCCCAGTCCTGCCCCTGGCCACGGCCTCCAGATTTCAGTTGTGAACCATCTCGCCCCATATTAAAATACTCTTGCTTCTAAACCTCTTCTTTGCTGTGCTCAAAGTTACATCTGTGTGATCTTCATTAGTGCAGTTGGGTGTTTTTTGAGGCTTTGAGAACATCTAGGTATTGTGACGTTCTGCAGCCTAGCTCAGGCCTCGTTACTGATAGGCATTGGTAATGCTTACTGCTCTCTCTCGAGAATGGGACCTGGGAAAGTGGAGCTGGAGAATGAGGTGGACTGAAGTCTGATGCAATAACCCGCTTTGTTGAGACAGTTTATCCTGCTGAGGGGTTCGAGGAGGCATATGAGTAAAGCGCGTAGCCACACGGGCAGCTTCATGCAGCAAAAGCGTATTTCCCGTGGAAGTGTGCAACCAAGTCACAGTAGCCAGTTGTAAAGAGTGATCTGAAGGAAACGCATTCGTTTCCAAGACATCTGGGAGGGCACAAAACCATATTCCAAGAGCAGTTCATGTGTTTTGAGGAAACTGAGGGCACAAGTCTTGGTTTCCTGGAGTTTTCTCACAAGTGCTCAGAAATCTGAAGTGCACTATGTCCTCACATCTTCCACTTTTTTTTTTTAATGCAAGATGTCCAAAGTGGTTTTATTTTGAGATGTTGTTAATAAGTCTAATTGTCATTTGATGCATGAGTATCCCATAAGCGAACAAATGATAAATATAATATTAGAACATTAAAAGCATTGTGTGTAATACTCTGCCACCTAGAACAGAGATCCAAACTATGTCCATTACTATTGGTTACATTATATTGATCAGAAAAATCTAGCGAACAGCTTGGAAAGAGACTCAATTAATAATTCTGGTGTCTATAGAATATAAGCTTGTATCTGCCTTTAGTAGGCATACAGATGTTAAGGTATGCTATACAAGTAGTAGTGACCCAAGGGAAAATTAGATGTCATTCCTTGTTCAGATGAGTGGATGAATGACTCTAATAAGGTCTCAAGGTCCGATCACAAACACAGGATCATTAGTAAAGTAGCTTCTGTCTTGGTATATGGGGGCTGTAAGTTGGCCTCAGGTGAGCAGACTTGATGTATGATGATGTATGGTCGATATCTCCCTTTGCCCCGTAGCTGGAAGTTCGCCGTTTTTCTGGTAAGTTTCGCTGTCTCTTTGCCCTCAGTGGCCTGGAGCTGGAGGAAATAAAGAATCCTTCATGTATCATTGGGTCCATCTGCAATAACATGTGCGTGCCCTGTTGCAGCTTTCTGGAAAGGGGACATAGCGCAGGTTAATGCGTCAGCTTGCGTATCTGCTCCTTCAGGAGGACCAGAGAGGTCAGGGTGTGCTCAGAGTGTGCGTAAACATGAGCGATAAATAATGTGTGCAGGTTTAACCAGATGTAGTTCTTGTAGAAATGGGAGCATAGCAATGTGAAGACAAAATTAAAGCAGTCTCTCTCTATTCATGAAAATAATCCTACAACATAAACAGAATCTGAAACAACATTTATGGGTTTATGAATTAACCATAATAGATGAATCAAAACAGCCATTTCCACCTGTTGGGCTGAGGAAAAATATTAATATTAATATTATTAATAGTATTAAAAATATTATATTAAAATTAATAATAATTAAAAATATTGATATTAATTAATAATACTATCTGGACCATGAATCCCTCCTATACCCTTTGTGACCCATCAACAAAATAAGTATGTGCCTGTGCGAGATGGTTGGACAGTTTTTGTAATCACAAAATCAGTTTGTACAAAAAAAAAAAAAAATTCCATAGTTTACTAGGTAGATAATGATTTCATATCCTTCTGTAGTAATCTGCAAATTAAATTTGATAATCCATAGAGTTCTGCAATGCTCTTAAAAACTGATTGTTAACAGAGTGGTGATGGTGCGTGCCTTTAAACCTAGCACTTGGGAGGAGGAGGCATGTGGATCTATGAGTTCTAGACTAGCCTGGTCTACAGAGTGAGTTCCAGGACAGCCAAGACTACACAGAGACACCCTGTCTCAAAAAAACAAAACAAAAACTCTTTTAAAGCCTGATGATTAGTTAAGGATAATATAATAGAGCAAGGATTAAATCTCTACTGTTGAGATCAGGTCCTCCCCTGATTTACTAATTGAGCAAGAAGAGTAAGGTAAGTAGTTAACATTTTATGGTCCTTGTAAGTGAATCCATTCCTAAGGTTTGTCCTCTTGTGCTAGAATCCCTGTAGGAGACAGTTTAATGGGGAAATTAAGTAAGTTTAAAGTTGACTTTGCTTTTCTGCACCCAGAAGCTGGGTGGTCATAACATTTGCATCGTAGGGAATATCGCTGTGCTCAGTAAGCGTCCAGCAAACACTCTTGTCAGTACAGCAAGAGTGTTGTAAAGGCAACTTTTCCATTGAGAAGGATTAAGTTATTAATTACTACTTAGAAGAATTGAGGAATAGTAAACATGTTAAACCACAAACATATCTTAATCACAAAATAGAGATACTGAAAGTAGAGGCAGATTAATAAATTAACAAAAAGTTAAAACTTAATACCAAAAGAAATACCACTTAAGAGAGTTGAAAGGATCTTTGCAGAAAGCTCTTGTCTCGTGGAACAGCTAGTGTTCTTGCCATCTAAGAAGATGGTGTAGGTGGAATGATGTATTATTACTAAGTATTGAATAATGGGATTGGGTGGAACTGCCTGCTGCCTTAGTCTAGTCCTACAGAGTCGGGGTGAGTAAGAGCAGGTTAAAAGTGACAACAGCGCTAAGGTAACTGGAAAGGAATGGAAGTTTTCTAGGCTGATGGAAAACTTTTTTGGAGTGGCCAGAGCTTAAAGTGACCATTTGTCTTTCTACTTTATGTTGATTGCATTTCAACTTGAAAAATGGCAAGGGGTGGGGCACCACATAAGCCAGACATCCTGGCAGGAGGATCAGAAAGCCAAGGTCATCCTGTGCCACATATCAGGGTCAATGATAGCCTTGTATACAAGATCCCGCCTCAAAAAAAAAAAAAAAAAAGACTGGTTAAGGACTTGCCTGGCTCGTCCAAGCGAGGCCCTAGATCCCACCCTGGTACTGTGGTCGATCAGGAAAGAGAGGCAAGCAGTCTGTCCATCCAGTGATGGAGGGGTGTTCACAGGAAGTGAATGCGATTGAGGCCTGAGTTTAAAAGGTTATTAATCTGTTGTGATTTAAAGTTCTAGTAATACCCAGAGCTAAAAGAAGAGTTTAAAGGTCACAGCCTAAATTTGCTGGACCAGGTTGACTCCAGATAAACTTGCACGTCTGCCTCTATTTCACATCTGCTGTTTTTTCCTGATTATGCCTGTACAACAGTTGATTTGAAAAAGAAGCCATGAATTTGAAAAAGCAAGAAAGGGTATGTGGGAGAGCATAGGAAAGGAAAGGGGGTCGGGGAATAATTTAATTATAATCTCAAAAAAAAAAAAGCAGCCAGGTGCAGTGGCACACACCTTTAACCCCAGCACTCCAGAGGCAGAGGCAGGTGATCTCTGAGTTCGAGGTTAGCCTGGTCTACAAAGTTGAGTCCAGCCAAGGCTACACAGAGAAACCCTGTCTTGAAAACACAAAACAAAACAAAAAGCTGGGCAAGCCAGCAAGCATTTATCCACGGCCTGTGCTTCTGTTCATAACACTGGATTCCTGCTTGATTTCCCTCAGTAACTGTGACCTGGGAGTTGTAAGATAAAGTACACTTCACCCTGCTGCCAACAAGACTAAAGGAAGGAAGGAGGAAAGGAAAGAAAAGTCGATGGAAAGTGTGGGTCAGGATGAGCTGGAAATTATACAGTTAGTCATGTGGAAGATTGAAGGAGTTTCTACCAAGAATTTCTTGGTCATGCATGATTGATTTGAGCTCAAGAGTTTGAGATTAGCCTGCACAGTGAGAGCCCACTGGTAGATAATATGCAATCCAACAAGAATGAAGTTGCTTATCTTAATTTTAGTAGAAAAAAAATTCCTATATAAAAGAAAACATAATACCAGCACTCAGGAGGCAGAGTCTGGCAGATCAAAGACAACCAGGGCTATACAGAGAAACCCTGTAGGGGGAAGATTCCATTTAAGTAAAGTACACACACACAGAAACACAAATAAATAAATAAACAAATAAGATTATTCTAAAATATATAAAAGTATAAACACTAATTTTGACATTTTCTTTCTTTTTTAGAAAAATGTCAGATGAATTTTCGGTAAGTTGAACCTTTCTAAGTTTTTGTTTTCTTTTAAGACAAACACAGTCCTGCCAGGAAAGATGGGGCAGGAAGATTATTTTGTGTGTGTGTAAGTGTATGCCAAGGCCCAGACATGGACCTTGATGGCTGCTTTGACTACACATGCACGCACACACGCACATCGTTGGTTGTGGAGTGGCTAGAAGTGGTTACACAGTCTTTAATAAACATTTTTGTAATTCTTCTCTTTGGTCTGCTGTAAAAGAATGTTAATTCAGAACGTGGCTATTTTGGCACATGTTTGGAGATCACATCCAAAGATCTTTTAGGTCTGTGTGATCCAGCTGGAATACAAATAAATAATCCTTTAATCCAGGAGACAGAGGCAGGGAGATCTTAGTTCAAGGCCAGCCTGGTATAGAACAAGTTTCAGGTAGAGAAAAGGTTAGATCCAGGCATGGTGGCACATGCCTTTATTCCCAAACAGTGAAGGTTTGTAGAAGGAAGCAGCCATGTTTAAAGTGATGTCTAGTTGAGTGGCAGAAACAGTGACAAATCAGAAAGACTTGACAGAATAGGAGACACCCAACTCTCAGGAGAAGAGAGAGGAAAGGGGCAATGAGAGGAGGCAGTTTTACAGAGAGAGTTTAGAGAGCAGTTTCAAGAGGAGACTGCAGCAGATTGCTGGAGTTTGAGACCAAACAGAGCAATTCAGAGGCTGGGGGGGGGGGGGGGGGGAGCCAGATTGAATAAGTCACCTGGGAGAGGAGTTTGAGCCAGAACAGCTGAGTAGAACAGGCAGCCCAGACCTTGGAGAGAACTAGAAAGGGTGAGCTTATTAAACAATAGGTCTCAGAGGCTGAAAACATTCTAGGGCTAGGTTAGATTGTATGGAGGCTGGAAGCTTCCAAGACTAAGTTAGCAGGAGGCAGTAAGCCTCTGAGACAACGAAAGAACAAGAACCAGGCAAATACAAGTTACTTTTAATATTACTTTCCCAGTAATATTAAAATCCCAACATTTATTGAAAATTACTGGTCGGACATAGTGCTGCATGCTTGTTATCTCAGCACTTGCGAGGTGGAGGCAGAGAACTAAAAATCCAGGGCTGGGGCCGCAGAGATGGCTTAGAGCAGAGGCCAAATGTATAAACTTATGAAGACGTGCTCCTCTGGTTTGCTTTCTCTTGCTGTGATGGAGAACATGACCAGAAGCAACTTGGGAAAGAAAATGTAGGTTTCATTCTACAGCTTGTCCATCATAAAGGGAAGCCAGGGCAGGACCTCAAGGCAGGGCCTGGAGGCAAGAACATGAACCTAAGGGTTCCGTGGAGGAACCCTTGCTTGCTTCTTGGGAGTCATAATAAGTTTTTAAAGTTCACGGTCAGCCTGGAGAGGTGCCTCAGTGGTTAGGAGCACTGGCTGCTCCTTTAAATGACCTGGGTGCAATTCCCAGCACCCACATGGCAGCTCACAGCTGTCCAATTCCAGTTCCAGGGGACCTGTGGCACCAGGCACATAGGTGATGCACACACAGGCAAAATACCGCTACACATAAAATAAAGTTTAGGGTTAGCCTGTGCTATGTGAGGCCTTGTCTCAACAAGAATGCATTTTACTTTAAACTATGTTTATGTAAATTGCCTCATTTAAAGCTGAATTTAACCCTAAAACTTTTTGAAACAAAAAAGTAAAGGCTGAGAGTCACATGTGGGTTCCTATCCAATTTCCCACATTATATTCACTCACGGTTCAGAAATGAAGTGTAGAAGTAGCTATATTTAGGACAGTTGAACGTTAGAGAATTTGCATCGCAGAGGTAATGTTCACGTTCTTTAAGACCCCACTAAGGCTTGTAATCCCCAGGAGTTGTGTGTGGTTTGCATGGGATTATTAGCATGTTTGCTTTGACTTGCCCTGGATAAGACATACCTGTTTCCTGTTACAGTTGGCAGATGCGCTACCCGAACAGTCCTCGGCCAAAACGTCTGTGAGCAACACAAAAGCCGGCCAGTCTCAAGGCTGGCCGGGCTCCGGCCCGTGGAGTAACCCCAGGGCTCCGCCTGCACTGCCTCCGGGACTCCCGCCAAGTGCAGCGCCCTCCACTGTGCCTTTTGGACCAGCACCAACAGGAATGTATCCCTCCATGCCTCCAACCGGACCACCACCAGGACCCCCAGCACCCTTTCCTCCTGGACCGTCATGTCTCCCACCTAGTGGTCCTTATCCAGCCCCTGCTGTGCCAGGCCCTGGCCCCACAGGGCCATATGCTACACCAAATATGCCCATGCCGGAGCTACCTAGGCCATACGGTGCACCCACAGATCCAGCTGCAGTTGGTACTTTAGGTCCATGGGGATCCATGTCTTCTGGACCTTGGGCACCAGGAATTGGGGGGCAGCATCCTAATATGCCATATCGATCTCCAGGGCCATATCCCACTGTTCCTCCTCCAGTGTCAGGAGCACCGCCTGTTCCATGGGGCACTGTGCCGCCAGGAGCCTGGGGACCACCAGCACCATATCCTGGCCCTGCAGGATCATATCCCTCGCCAGGACCCCATCCTACTCTGAATAATCCTTACCAAGTGCCTTCAGGACCTTCTGGTGCTCCACCAATGCCTGGTGGCCCTCATGTAAGTGTTCAGCTTGTTAGGGCCATGTAGTCAGAGTCACGTTGACACAGCTGGAAGATTATTCTGGGTGGGAGATGAGAGCGCTTCTGATACTTAAAATGGTTATGAATCTATAACCTGAGTAAGTGAGAACTTCTGCTTTAGTTGCAGCATTTCGAAGGAGAAGAATCCCTACTACTAACAAGAGAAAGGGAAGCTTCTCAGATCCTAAACGCACTGTACTGTGATGAGCGGTGTGTTCCTCAGCCCCTTAGGTGACGAGAAGGTGCACACCATGGGCTGGGCTGTGTTGTGTTACTATTCTAACTGCCGTCCTACCAGGTCACAAAGCAGGTGTCCATGTAGAGGAATTAAATATCTGCCTCAGCTGTGAAGAGAAACATTCTTAGTAAATTGTCCTCTGAAATTTTATTAGTGCATTCTCCCCCAAAATGTGTGTGTGTGTGTGTGTGTGTGTGTGTGTGTGTGTGTGTGTCTATTCTGCCAAAACATCTCCCTCCAGATTGTTTTCTTACAAGGTGCCATAAGACTTGCTGTTTACATTTGTTATACAGTAAGGTCTATTTCAGGCCATCACAGAGTCCGCAGCTACACGCACTGATTATATGTGGGAGGCATGGAGTCCCTTGTGCTCACAGATAAGCACTGGGGAGCCAGGGATGTTACACGCACAGGGTTGTCTCTTCAAGGAAGAGATGGATGACCTGTTGTCTGCCCAGAAGACTGGGAGCAGATGTGGTTAATAACCTGGTGACCTTTTCGTTATCTGTGTGGCCGAGACCACCCTGGACCCTCCCCAGATACTATGGTGAACTTGTCAATCTGTAGAACCCATTGTTATGCAAGTGTACTTGTAAAAAGTGTTTCTGTATAGTCCTTTCTTAAGCATCATTGTGCACACCGGATTGAGTTATATATCACCAAGAAATTCCTCACCAAATTGTGGTGTGCTTAAATATGCTTAAAATCAGCTACTTAGGGTCAGATTCCCTAAGTTTGAACCAACACCAGCTACTGAGTCATGGTGAACTGAGCTGCCTTGCCTCCTGCAAGGTTCCTTGTCAGCACTGCCTGTGGCGGGCAATCTGGCAGGGGCAGAGTGAGCCGATCGAGGCTTAGAGCCATGTGATGAACAACAACCGAAGCCAGCTTACACCTCTCTGGAGTTACTCCTTATCTGGGAGGGCCCTGAAATCATATTTCGAGAACAATTCTGTGTTTTTGAAGAAATTGGGGTCACAAGTCTCTTGTCTTGGTTTCTTGGAGTTTTCTTTCAAGCAAGCGCTCAGAAATTTTACGTGATTCCGTTCTTGCACCATGTTCTGAATTCTTTCCCTTTAAGTGCAAAATGTTCAGAGTGGTTTTGTTTTGAGTTGTTGCTGATAAAAAATTGTCATTTGATGCATGCGTACCCTGTTAGCAAACAAATGATAAATATAACAATATTAGAAGCGTAGGGCTGACAGGGACCTTGTATGAGTTTTGTGAAACTAGACCTGGAGTTAGATCCTGTATCAGTATTCATCCTGGCAGCCATAGCTCTCTCCCTAAGGTTGGAGGGCTGCACGGGGTCTCTCGGTCCCCATCTGCTGGTCCCTGTCGGCATTTCAGGCTCACCCTTCAAGTCCCAGTTATTAAACCTTCACATTTGCCTTTGGCGAGCTTGGAAGGGCTTAGAACCATTTTCACAATTAAATAAAAATCATAAGGTAACCTTGCACATTACTAGTCCAGGAAAAAGATACTGATAACATGAAGCAGTAAATCCACAGGAAATGCAAGCATTTTCGAAAGCTTTAATGATGTCCTTCACCTAAAGTTTCTTCTGGAAATCAGAGGTACTTTCAAACCATCTAAGAGTTACATCAGACAAAGCCTTCCCTGGCTTCTGCCCCATTGTTCTCTCTCGCCTCCTCCTATGAGTGACCCTGAGCTCAGGTTCTGGGCACAGCTTGTCACTGCTCCAGAGACAGTGGGTCCTGGGACAGTGGAGCTGATAAGTGAGGTGGACCACAGTTTCGTGCAATAGCCAACTTTATTTGGAACATCACATAATTTATACTCTGAGAGTTAAGAGGGTTCATGTGAGCAAAGTGGACAATCATTAGGGTAAGCCTCAAGTGATGAAGCGAGCTGAACGCAGCAAATAAAAGTGAGTTTGTAACGAAGCAAGATGACTTTTATCCAGTACATCTGGGAGGGCCAAGAACAATTCCGTGTTTTGAAGAAACTGAGGTCACAAGATCCTGTCTTGGTTTATTGGGGTTCTCACCAGCGCTCAGAAGTCTCATATGACTCCAGTTTTGGACTGTTTGAAGTTACACTGTTGGTTGTGATGTCCACAATTATAAAAGTTGATCTCTTTTCCCTTTTTTTTTCTGTTGCAGTCTTACCATTGAGTTGACAGTGAGGAAGAGCTGGCGCACTGCTTTTTGAAGTACATGTATGTGCACATGAAGGCATTTATAAATGGCTGGTTTCACTATTGGTTGAGGACATTCGTGAAAGAACAACTTGCACTTCAGAAAGTTCTGTTTCATGTGTTTGGATATGTAGAACACCACGTGGGTACAATCAGATAAAATGTAGAAGCAAATCATTCAAGTGTGATTAATGTGGCTATGTGTATTGAATAACTTTTGATATTGTGTGTTTAAAACTATACCCTCAAAATCTAAAATATCATGGATTGTTGTTAGTCTGCAACTTAATTGACAGAGTAACTCAAGTATTTTTTGTAATCACCCTCCACCCTGCCCCCATATAACTAAGAACAATCACATATTTGGAACATGAGTCCTCAATGTTTTGAGCTCCTTCTACCTACAGAAACCAGGTCCTCTTGTTATAGTGTGGCTACTAAGTATAAGACAACCATTATATTCAGTTCTTCCAAAATAACAAAATTGCATTATGACCTAAGGGCAGGTTTCTTGCTCTGTCAGAGCTCTAGAAAAGTGTTGGTACCAAATGCACTTAAAATGTTAAGGCATAGTGTAATTGGCCTGCCCAGCCTTAGGAAGCAATAAGAAAACTGGGGGGAGGAGTAAGGCAGCTGCCCCCGGGCAGTCACTGGCACAGCCGTCTAAGCCAGCAGCTGCCGCCGGGCAGTCACTGGCACAGCCGTCTAAGCCAGCAGCTGCCCCCGGGCAGTCACAGCCGTCTAAGCCAGCAGCTGGAGCTAGGAGCTAACAGCTGGGCCAGTGCTGATATCAGGTCCTTTTTGACAATCTAATTTGGAATTCACAACTCATTTTTTTTTTCTTTAAACAAGTTATTGGAGGGGGTAAATAAAACAGACATCGTGTGTGACATTTTTTAAATGGGAAAAAATACTCAGAATTCCAAAGGACATTCTCACGATTCCTGAACCACAACCTGTTTGAGTTGTTGCAGAATTATACACATTTATCTGTGTATAATATGTTTCTCGGCTTCATATACAGGGCAACTGAAGGAGAATGCTCTTTGGCTGACATAGCCATGGTCAGACTCCCCGCCACAGACCAGCTGGAGGAAGCAGAGCTTGGCAGGTGGCTCCTGCAGGCCCTTAAGCATCTGGCTGAGTGAGTGTGCTTGCAGAGCTGTTGCTCTCCTGAAATGTAATGACGCCTCTGGCGCCTGTGAGTCGGGAGGCACAAGCTGTTGTGCAGCTCTCCCAGCGGCAACAAGGCCTGTGAGCAGCCAGTCCCACCCCAACTTCCTGGGTTGACAGAGATCCTGGATTTGCTGCCTGGTGGGTTCCAGACCTTGTAATGGGTAGTAGGTCATGACCCCAGCCTACCCAGGACCCAGTTGTCCACCGCATGTGTGGGCTCTGGCATTTTGGTGTAGTCCTCTGTTTGGAGCTCTACACCCTACTGTGAGGTGTGTCCAGCTTTCTTTGAGCTTGTTGGGGTGTGCAAGGGTGCGGTGGCAGTGACTAGTGACCCAAATGTCTTCCAGGAGCGTTCAGGCATTGATTTATCAAAGACACTTCCTTCATTAGGCCTTAAGACTTGGCTTAAGTGCATTTCATGCCAACATTTTTCCACAGTTCTGTCAGAGCAAGAAACCTCTCCCCGGAGCTTAATGCAACTGTGAAAGGAACATTTTGTAATTTTAGCAGAACTAGGAATAATGGTTAAATTAAACTTTGTAACCACAAGAAAATAAAATTATGCCACTAAAATATGAAAAGAGGCCCCAGTTTGTATGGGTAGAGGAGCTACTTGGAGAGTTTGTCCTTGGGTGTGTTTGAGGTTCTCCCATTGGTTTCCAGATGCCATCCTGTTAGACTTTCCTGAAGGAACAGCTGGATTTCTAAAAAGATTTCTAATTTCCCTGGGGGCTTCTTGGATCTGGAAGCCAACCTGCCAGCCTGGGCATCTGGGCCCCGGAACATCCATCATCACTGCCCTGCCTACAGATAACCTTAAGCCAAGATTTATCAGTTGCCAAGTTCATCAGCCAATGTGTTGGGGTTTTGTTTTTCTTTGGGGGTGGGGCAGACTGTTCTTGTTAGTAGAATTTAATGACCCATCCTGTGTGATGTGCTCTGGATGGTAATTCCATTTAAGCCCTTGTTTTTTAGGACTTCACAACTGATAATGGGGATTTATTTGGTTTGTCATTATTATTTAATACAAGAGTGGAAATCAAAAAGACAGGATTTTTATTTTCAGAATATTTCTCTTGTTACCCTCAGGTTGGGTTCAAGATAGGATCAAGAAAAGCTAAAAATAAAAAATATAAAAGGTAGCCAAATAAAGAATCCAGAAAGGACTTTCCAGCTTTGTAGGGTAGAGTGTTTGTGGGTTCAAGATAGAGTCAAGAAAAGCTAAAAATAAAAATAAAAAGTAGCCAAATGAGGAAAAGAACCTGAAAAGGGTTTTCTAGTTTTGTTTTAACCTATGGGTAATACTGGTTTGAGAACAAGCCATGCTAGGCCAGAACTGGTCTACCGAAGGACAGTTTGTCAATAAATGTTTGGTCTTAGAAAAATCCAAATTCTAGACCTTATTGACATGGTCTGACAAGAATTCTTAAATAAAGATAGTTGAGATGTGTGCAAGAATAGTGTTTCTAAAGTTGAAATGTTGAGTTTTGCAATATTCAGTTCTTTATCTAAGGCCCCTCCTTTCTTCATCTTGCTGTCAGTAGAGAGTAACAGTCCATTTTCTCATAACACACCTTACAAACTAATGCCATCTTTTGTCTCCCATAGACAGCTTTTGATTGAGGTTGGTAAGATCCTGCCTCGTTTTCATGGCGGTTCCATACAGCTCTCACCATGTATTCCCCACCCTGAGTAACTCAAAGCTAGCTTTCTCAGATGCTGGGAATGCAACCTCCAGAAGAGCGCAGGCCTTTAAAGCAGTGTTTAGGGAAGCAGATGCCTAATGGAACTAGCTGCTAGAGAGTGGTGGGTGCTTTGAGGGAAGATACGCTTAGGGAAGCAAATGCCACTCAGAACAGACACTTTATTTTCAGAACTGCCAACTGAATCAAAGTGAGTATTGGCGGTTGGGGCCAAGATTCCATTCCTGAGTCTAGCTGCAGGAGACACCTGAGGACCGAGCCTGTGCATCCTGTACAGGTACAGCCTGTACCGAGCCACGCGTACATCGTGACTGGGCTCTCGGCCCTGCACTAGCGCACCCACTTTAGGCACACTGTTACCAGCCCCCTAGAGAAGGGGTAATTAACCGTGGCTGTCAGTGAGGATAACAGGCCTGTCCTGGAGCTCTGTGTAAATGAGGAACTCATGGAAATGTCTGCCTCCCAAATACTGAGATTAAATGCATGTGACTGGCTTAATAAACGTCAGGTGTGTGTGTTTGAATGCCTGAAGCATGGCGACTCATGCCTTTGATCCCAGCACTTGGAAATGAGAGGCAGTCAGACTTCAGAGTTCAAGGACAGCCAGGGTTATACACGGAAAACACGTCTCAACAACAGTAAAAACATATCTTTCAACATGGTAGTGCTGATCAGTGCAACTATTCAAGTGTGCAAAGTAACAGGACGCTTTTCCTCTGCTCTTCTGGATAAAGGCACTGGCACAGCTGTCTCTGCTTGATAGACACCTGTCATTAAGTAGATTCTACTTTTTATATGTGCTCTATAAAGGTTTTTTTTTTTTTGTAATACTTTTCTTGAGATTGTGATTTTTTTTCATTTATTGAATAATGGCAAATTTGATGTATTTTATAGTCTATGCATTTTAAGTTAAGCTGCCTGAAGTGTGTTTGAGACCTACACGTTTGTACTATGAACTGTAAGCAATGGAAGATAACTAGGTTTTGTCACCTGCTGCTGTATTTGCAAACAAAGACAAATGTTGCTTGAAGATGTAATTATAATTAGAAGTAGGCTATGGATGTGATACTTGATATTTTTAAGGTAAACTTGTTTGCTTTGTGTGTGATACCTGAAAGCCTTTTTTAAAAATGTATTTTCATGATTTCATGGTTTCTCTGTGTTTTATTGCCCTGGCAAAGTTTGAAGCTTCCCTAAGAGTCCAGAGCCCAGTTAGCTTCCTATTTGTATTCCTAAAGAAGACGAGGGTCTGCAGTCCCTGTCAGCGTGTGTCCTGCATTCTCTAGGGAATTCCAGCCGGCTGCCTGCAGAGAGTCCTGCTTCATAAACACTGGTCAGCAACAGCATGCCAGCACCCGTGGGGAGGATGGCCCCAAGACTGGACCACCCGGAACCAGGCATCTGCCTGAGGTCAGGGAACCAGCCCTCTCCACCCTTGTGGCCACCACCCCCACTTTCTCTTACAAACTAACTCCTTTTGCCTTGACTTGCAATTAGTTAAGAGTCACGTTAAGCTTGATGTACTTGAGCCTGTCCGTGGGAGTTAGCCAGCCTCACAACTCCCATGTGAATGGGCTGAGAACGAAGTTTTTGGAAGAGGTTGTGCCCTTTTTAAAATAAGTTTAGAGTGGTTTCTGGTATTCTGGGTTCCTGAAAGTGCCCACCTAAAGTAGAGCTAAGAAATAGTGAAATTGAAATGTAAGACAATCCTTACATTTCATGGGCCCCGTTGGCTGTTTGGCTTTCTCACTGTGAAATGGCATTGCTCTAACACATGCCAAGTTTCCTGACCCAGCATTTCTTTTTTACCACTACTAGTACCATCTGTCTCTACAGTAGATGTCTTAAGAATGAATCCTAACATGACCATGTTTATTCAAATCTGACACACAAAGTAGAAGCCAATGCTAGGAGAGATGTAAGCAATCCCATAGTTTATTTCCTGTGATGGTTAAATGTTTGTTTCCTTGTAGATTTATTTTTATGTGTGATTTTGCACGTATCTGTGAATGTATGCCTTCGGAGGCAGAATAATACACCAGATCCCAGCACCTAAAGTTACAGATGTTGGTGAGCTGCCAGATATGGGATCAAACTGGGTTCTGTAGAAGAGCAGCAATACTCTTAATCTCTAAGTCATCTCTCCAGCCAGTACATAGGTTCTCTTGAACAAATTAGGCAGATTTAGGCCGGCTGTGATGGTGCACACCTGTGATCCTGGCACTCAGGGAGGCAGAGGCAGGTGGACCTCTGTGAGTTCAAGGCCAGCCTGGTCTACAAAGCGAGTCTAGGACAGCCATGGCTACACAGAGAAACCATGTCTGCAAACACAAAAAGGTAGCAGCAGATTTTCCAGATGCCATTTTGTGGTTCTCTGCAATTCAGGCATGTGGTATGGAAAGAGTGTGGTTTCCTGGTGCGGCTAGAGCAGGCCCAGGCACCTGCTTTAGTTTACCCATGAGTTTAGAGTGAGGAAAGATCCGCTGCTTTCAGTTGTGAGAGCTGCTGTTGTGTATTACTACACTGACTCCTGGTTGAGGTTTGCCTGAATCCTAGTTGCAGGTTCTGGGAATCATGTGATAGAATCTTAGAATGCCCAGGTTTCTAGCCCTGCTGCAGTCTTGGCTTCCCATAACCCTTAAGGAACGGTTGGGAAGATGGCTCACAGGTAAAACATGTAACCAGAAAAGCGTGAGGATCTGGATTTGAGTCCCTGGGACCTAGTAAAGGCCAGTGTGGTAATTGTGATCTGTAATCCCATCAAACCTACTGGAATGCAGGAGGATTCCTGGAAATTGGGCCAGCTCACCTGGAGACACAGCAAGGAGGCACAAGAGACTGTCTCAGTGTGGAAGGTAATGGACACCCAAGGTTGTCCTTCAGCATCGCTGTCTACTCTATGACACACATGCGCGGACATGGTTGCACACACAACAATAAGGCATTAGAAACTTCAGTTCTTACTGTGTTATGTTCTCTCTTCAGCCTCGTTTTTAGCCTAATGTCCCTTAAACGTAGTTTAAGGTAATTTTAAAAAGTAGCCTTTTGGGGGTTGGAGGTGGCTCAGCAGTTAGGAGTCCTGGGCTTTCATCTAGAGTACCTGCTTTTATTCTCAGCACCCATGTAACAGCTCACAGCGGCCTTTAACTCCAGTCTCAGAGATCTGGTGCTGGCCTTCTGACCAGCTCCAGCACAAACTCAGACAAAACAACCCATGCACAGAAAATAAATTGTTAAAAGAAGGGCTTAGCTGCTTGGTTGAGATATGGAACCAAGTTTAAAAGAAGTTGTGGAAGCTGGACATTGTTGGAGCACGCACCTGTAATCCCAGCACTCAGACCCCTGAGTTCAAAGCCAGCCTGGTCTATAGACGGAGTTCCAGGATGGTCAGGACTACACCAAGAAACTGTCTTAAAAAAAAAAAAAGTGAACTCCCAGGGCCATCTCTCCTGGTAGTAACAGCCTGTCTACTGGGTTGTGCTCCTCTCGGCTGGACACTGCATCCTCATATGGTCTTTCCATGGCCAGCCTAGTTAGAATTTGGCCATGAGCCATTCTGTCTTGGTTTTGTCCTCTTAGTGTACCCTGAACAGGTGTCACGGTTCTTTTTAAGAAAGGGGCTCAGCTCTAACACAGACCAGAGTCAGCGCAGCTTCCTCCCATCAGCCTACCTCTCATTCTACTGCATCTCCTGGCCGCTAATGGTGTCTGTGCTCTGTGATCGTTACAACACCTTGGAGGAGAAATGCCTGCTTTGCAGTTTGCATGCATGATCCTGCTTAAGCTTCACAAGACAAAAAGGCTCATATCCCCATTTTCTCAATGAGGAAACAGGCTGGTTAGTGGCAGAGCTCTCACAGACCCTGTTGTGGAGCGAGGATTAAAGTCCTGGGCATGAGTCATCAGAGATTGTGCCCAATAGGATGCTGTTCTCGAGAGAAGGGCGGCTCTGTCCTGTGTACCTTCCATGGCTGCCTAGTGCTGTACTTCCTGCAGAACTTCGTCTGGTGTTTAGTGGATGTCAGGGAGCAGATCTTAAACACATTTCTTCTCTGAGTTTCAGTGATTGTGCGAAAGGGATGGTTCTTCAATTACCTAGCGAGTTACAGTACTTCTCGTACTGACTTAGAACTGTAGAGTTGTGTTTGCAAGGGCAGATAACTATCCAAAGGTGTTGAAGTTGAACAGCATGTAAAATGTGGACCCGCGAACTACTATGAAAGTCAACAAAAGGGTCAGATCGCTAGTTCAGTTCAGTCTGTAGTCACCATTGTTAGCAGCATAATGAGTATCCAGCTGTGGTAAAGGGTAGGCCAGAGGTGACCAAGTGGCTGGACAGAAGACCCAGCAGCAAATGGGCAGCCAAGTGACAGGAACTTGTGGAGAGTCAGTTCTACAGAAAGGCCAAATAGTTCTTCCCTTAAACTTGTTAGGACAAGTTCTATAGAGAAGGGTGTGGCCTTCTCCCTCTAGTTGTTGCTGACAGGGCAGCCTGCAGAGGAGATAAGGAAGGAGGGAGGAGGGAGTCAGGCACAATGGTCAAGGGGAATCTTGGAGCCCTGACTCACCAGCAACCAGGTGCTTCTTTATTTATACAGGTTTCACAGAACAAAGACAGACTAATGATTATCCAAGAAGCACAGATTATGTGTTTGATTTTTTTCATTAATATCCAGGTTGCAAGTTCAGTCACAATGAGAAAATACAAAAAGACCAGATTTTTATTATCAGCCCTGTAACTCCAATTTAAAGAACCTAAAGAATATATCCTCCAAAGCAAAAACTATTATATGACAGCCTGCTTCTAGGCTGGCAGTGTTTGCAGTTTTAAAGCACTCCAGACAAACAGAAAATAATCTGAATCAGTCTTTTTATGAATAGCATATACTAATACCTAACCCGTTTTATTATATGTTTTATCATCTACACTATAAAGTAGGACAAGCTTATTTTAAGTCATTCTATCTTATTTACTGAGTTTTATTTCTCCAGGGGTGTACCCTGTAGGACCCTCTATGTTTACATTTTCAGAGAGCTCTAAGCTATAATAAAGAGGACTTGAAACTGTAACCTGTTCTCCTGGCCAGTCAGTCTGTCAATGATCTCTGTTTACCCTGCACCAATTACACTGTTTGAGTTTGCTCAGGGGCAGATGCCCAAGAAGGCTCCTGGAGTAATGGCCTCATCTATCTACATGTTTATCTGTGCTTAATGATCTCCAGAGCATCAGATGGACTTCCAGATAGTACCCAGATAAAGTTAATTTTAGGACTTTCCTAAAAAGACTCAGACATAATTTTCTCAGGAAAAGACATTAATCATAATGTAGAAAGTCTCCGGTAATGCAACATGTAGAGACCAAAACCTGAAAGGTAGAAAGAGAATGACAGCAATTGCAGCATTCAGCTCAACTTTGCTAGAACCCTGTCAGGCAACTGCTGGCTTCATGACTTTTCATGACATTTGCAGTGGATATGGCTGGGCCAAGACTGGCTTGAAATGAGGGCTGGGGAGGTTTCAGTTTCTCTGGGTGTTTGTCTCTCAAAAGCACCTTGTGTTCTCAGTTACCTTTTTTTCTTCTTCTTCTTCCAAGCTAATGCTTTTTCCCCCCGCACAAACTGTATATCCTGAAACAATGCCCACGTTTCTTGGATCTTGGTGGTTGCTGCAGGCAAATCTGACCCAATGTGTGGTAAATTTGCCCTTTGCTTCCTCCAGCCCTGGGTGGGAATGCTTAACAGGAAGTAACGGGGCAGCACTATAGAGTTAGTTATTTCAAAGGACACCTCAGTGGCAAGGGATAAACAGCAAAGGCCTACCAAACTGCTTCAGAAACGCCTGCTGGTTGGAGTATTTGGATGTCATCTCTTGGCTATTAGAGGCATCTTTTTGAGCTCTAGAGCCTGTTGGTCCTCAGGAAGAACCCAGTGCATCTGAGTTGTCACACTGCTGTAGTCCTCAGGCTGTTGGAGCTGCATTCCCATCGCTGCTGTGAGCTCACCGTTATTTGGCAATGCTCTTGTGCGCTGTGGGAAGCAGACTGGCTTCGCTTTAGGCTTCCTGTCACAGTTGCCCCTTCACACCTGCTGTATGCACTCTACTTTTCCATCTGAAGCCTCTGCTCAGAGAACCTTCCGGAATGAT